CTATTGACGTGTTTCTGACCAAAGCTTGTAGAAAGGATCTTCCGGGCTTCTGTATATCCTCGCTCTGGAGGGAGAATTACACAGCTTCTGATTGCTTCCTTAGCTGCACCAGTACAGTGTTGGATAAGATATGATAGTTTGACATGTATCATCCTTGACTAATTGTTCTATGTTCACCTCAAAGTTTTTGATAAAGGTTGGATATGCGACTGGGTCACCATCGAAGGTATGAAACTCGTGTTTTGGTAGACTCAAGTTAATGGCTAATGCTTTGGTAGTCTCCAGCTGATTCTGCACAATGCATTCCATTGTCTTCTGTTGACTTTCTAACAGTTTCTGTAATTGGAACGTTTCAGAGAGAGCAGCACCATTACCTGACTTCTTAGTGGTCATCTGCTTCCCTATAGGCCCTCCTCTGTCATCACGATATTGTTTGCTGGTACCATGTGCATTATCAACAAAGCTTGTATGTTGTGGACTTGACGCCCCTGTAGTCCTGAATTGACTATTGGCTGGACTACACGACGGTATATACGATTGGAAATAATTGCTCATCATTTCTTGTTGGGTCTGCCTCTGCAAACCAGGGAGTATATCAGACTTCTGGTCAGATTCATTTTCTTCATCTATAAAGTCTACTTCTACCTTGGCTTGTTTCACCCGATTTTGAGCTTGCATAATTTCCATTTCTGCTTCCTGCTGCTCCCTCTCTTGACGTATCAGAAGCAGACGTTTTTCTGTTTCTTCTCGAAGCTGCAACACTTTTATGCGTTGCTTTATCTGTTTTTCAACTTTGAGTTGGTCCAACTCACACCGGGCTAAAGCGAGTTTCCTCCTTGCTTCCCTAGACACACGACTCGTCTTTGTATTGGAGTTAGAACCTATTCTACCATCCTCAATATCCACATCCAAAAATTCTTTCTTGCCAGTATCCCATGGATTTGTCTTGTTTTCTTGTGGGAGTTGAGGCCAAGATGAAGTGTGAGAATCTACCGACGCATTTGGTTCTGTGGTTAGAGTTGGCATGTGGACTTTCCTTTCCAAGAGAAATCCATGTTCCAATGCGTCTTCCATATGGTCGTCAATCCTTTCCTTTGGGCCAGGAGACTCCATTGTTTGGAATACCCATTCTCTGTGTCTCTGATCAAAATACTCCTTTCTTTCAAGCTCAACCTCGTATTCACTTTCGACAGCACCTCTTGCCATTGGAGGTAGACACTGCATATATTCACGACAAGTTTTTTTATACGAGTTGAATATTTTCTCAAGAGCACATCTTTTCTTGCTTACTTCTTGGTATGCTGCTTTTGTGGACATCATACTGTCTATCTCAGTGTAGACTCTGGTAAGATGACCGCCATATGAAGCTGTTGATTTCTTCAAACGATGTATCTTATCAAGTTGCATACTGGCTCGGTCCAGGTCGAATAACGTGTCCCTTTTTTGCGAATATCCTTGATTCAGACTCATTTCCCTGTCTTGCACGGGTTTATGATCTAGGATATGACATTCACAGCACGATATTCACTTGACTGACCGCAGTATTACCAGTATGTACAAGGTATGAAGGCAACACAAAATTATGATCTTCAGCGAAGGTTAAACGAGAACTATGTAGGCATCACAAGCTCCCACAGGTATTACAGTCTTACGCCACCAACTAGAAACGCGTACTCTGGTTATATCGTATATTTATTCCATATGGTCAATCGTTACGGAATCAAAACAAGTTAATACATCTCCAGAATATGGTTCTAAAATATACAAAACAAAATAGGGAAACTATAATAGTCGAAGTAAATCAAACAATTCTCATCATAAAATGTACAGTAAATTAAATATACATTTCTCTTAATATGTGCAGAAAGTCGAGCGATACAACCAATAAATATACGGCAAATAAAATATGTAACAATAAGTAACAATGCTAACTGAAATATTTGTCAACCATTTTGACCAGCCAAAGCACACATTGCACACCATGTGCTTTACAAAACGTGCAGCTGACCACATGTACGCAATGTGTTTGGGCACAAAAAATGGGTGGCAAATAATATAAATAACAAAACAATTTTCAAGAAATAAGTCTTAACAAATACTAGCGAATACTAACATTTACAGACTTGCAATAATAACCCAAAGTAAGAGTGATAAAATAGAGTTCATACGAGTACTCAAACTTGTAACAAATCACTGCCAATAATTTCATGCTGATGAAGCCAACAATGAAAAGAAAACCTTCCTTACCTCATTTAGTGGCACCTTCCCGGACCGGTGTACAAATGTTAGCAAACCTAGCAAGTTTCAGAAAACCCAATGCGGCAGGGCAATTCAGAGCAGACACAGAGACGTCTTCACTCTTCAGAAGCACATGCTGAACTGAAGACAATAGCCTGCCTAGCCCAGAGTTCACCACAGGTCAAACAGGTGAAACAAAGGAATCTAACTATGTAATCAATAACCAATCAGAGGGGAGGTTTGCACAACTTACACACCGCCCCCGAAAGGCGCACGTCACGAGGAGCCTTTCTAAATTTAAAGTGGCAGAACCGACAACTAAATGAATCATGTACATGAAAAGTAAAAATCATTGTTCTGTTCAACAAAGGTTCATTGTTCTGTTCAACAAAGGTTCATTGTTCTATTTTCTTCTTGTGATGTAGTCTTTTACTACGACGTGGCATCGAATGATCACATCCATCTACTTGTTCATGTATTTCCTTGGTGTCTTCTGCACCGATCTCTGCTGCTCTAGTTACTCCATCTTGTCTTTCCATCACAGTCTTGTGATCCATGTTGCCTTCCAATAAACAGAGCTTGCGCACATCTCTCCGTAAACATCCAGTGGAAGTCTTCACAAGAACATGACGAGTTGTACCAAATCGATCAGCAAAGGTCTGTTCGACTTTTCCCAAAGGCCATTCACCTCGAGGAATATTTTCATTGACAACAAGTACCAAATCACCAATGGATAGGTTCCTTTTCGGCCTGCACCATTTCTGCCTTTCTTGTAGAGTTGGCAAGTACTCACGTACCCACCGTTTCCAAAACTCAGTTGCAAGATGTTGAGTTTCGGTTCTTCTTCTCTGATGACCATTTCCTTCTATGATTTCATTCACCGACGTACAAGGATTTGGGCGTAGCAAAAGTAAATGGTTTGGTGTGAGTGGTTCAAGATCATCTGGATCATCAGATAAATGTGTTAGTGGTCGATTATTAAGAATCTTCTCCACTTCGGTAGTGAAAGTGAGTAGCGTTTCATCATCCACTAACCTGTTCCCTAATAAAGATCGAAGAATCTTTCTTATCGAACGAATCATCCGTTCCCAGACTCCACCTGCATGACTTGCTGCTGGTGGATTAAAATGCCATTGAATATTTCTTCTGCTAAGTTTACCGTTAATAAAAGCTTGGTTCCATTTAGCAAGCATCTGTTTCAGCTCAGTCTCGGCTCCCCGGAAATTGGTACCATTATCACTGTAGAGATGTGTAGGTGGTCCACGCCGACTAATAAATCTCCACACAGATTGTATAAAGGAATCTGTGGATAAATCATGGGCCACTTCGATATTAACAGCCCGAATGGCCAGGCAGGTGAACACGCATCCATATCGTTTAATGGTACCTTTTCTGTACGTTAACATACAGTGGTCCAAAATAATCTATCCCGACATGGGAGAATGGTGGCTCACCTGGTGTCACTCTAGCTGCAGGAAGTGGAGCCATTTTTTGATTCCCGGGTTGTGCATTCCATCGACGACACTTAATACACCTACATCACACGCTTTACAGTAGCTAGTCCATGAACAATCCAGAACTTCTGTCGTATCTCTGACAACACTTGGTTTGGGCCAATATGTCCTTGTTGTTCATGGTAATGTTGAACGATCAACTCAGTCACATGATGATTGTGAGGTAATATAATTGGATGTCTAGCTTGCTGACTAATGGGTGCGTTCACTAGTCGTCCTCCGACGTGTAGAACTCCATTTTCTAATTTAGGGTTTAACTTTCGCAGTGGACTGACATAACCTTCAGCATCAGGTTTCTCACTCAGAATCTTTTGCGGTGAAGCAAACTCTCTTGGAAATGAACTTCGTTGGACAATTCTGCAAATGTCAGTGGTAGCAATGGAAAGTTCATGAACTGTTAACGGGCCTATTTTCAATAAGGCAGATCTTCTCAAGTACATCTTAAACCGGATGAGCCATGCAACACTCACTTGTAATTTATACCAAGAGGAGTATTGTTGGAGCAAACGACTCCAAACATCTGTACCCATTGTATTGCACTGGGTAATGGTTGTTGCTTGGACCTTCCTTCTCGGCTCTTTGTCATCACGATCAATTTCTGGTAGGTCAGTAGGTTGGCCTGGCCATTCTGATTCAGGTTGCCATAGAAATGCTGCACCATGGAACCATGTGGTTATTGCTGCCTCATTAGAACCATTCAATTTTATTCCTCGTGATGCATGGTCTGCTGGATTGAACTCTGAACTGACGTGGTACCATTGTGATGGAGATGAAGCATCGTGAATAATCTGGAGGCGGTTAGAGACAAAGGTTTGGAATCGTGTTGCCATGTTGCGAATATATTGGATGACTATTGTTGAATCTGTCCAAAATAGGGTTCTCTGGATTGGGAGTTGAATTTCATCTTGAATTTGTCTGCTGACCTTAACTGCAACTGTAGCTGCTGTTAGTTCAAGCCTCGGTACTGTCATGGCTTTGAGCGGAGCGACCCTGGACTTTCCCATCAGCAAACTGCAATGAATTGTACCATTTGTATCTATCAGCCGCAGGTAAGATGCAACCCCATAACCTCCTAAGGAGGCATCAGAGAAATTATGGAGTTCCACTGTTTGTATTTGACTGAAACCAGATGGTTTGTAGCATCTAGGTATAGCTAGTGTCATCAAAGTAGGTAGTTTTTTTTCCTCCATTCTCTCCAATTCGACAGTTGATCTTCTGGTACCTTTTCATCCCATCCATATCCAACACGACATAATTCTTGTAAGATTCGTTTTGCCGGTAAAACAAAGGGGGCAGCGAATCCAAGTGGGTCGTAGACTGAAGCCACGAATGATAACATCTCCCTGCGTGTCTCTTCTTTCAGTCTGTCGCCAATTCTGAAGTTAAAGGCATCCTTTTCAACATCCCATTGGATGCCAAGAGCTCTGTCAATCGGCAAGTTCTCCATATCTAGATTCATCACTGAAGAAGCACGCTCAGCTTCTGGGATCAGTGCTAAGATTTCCCGACAGTTGGATATCCATTTTGTTAGATGAAAACCTCCTTTAGCTAACATTTCAGGCAACAGTTTCACCAGTTCCTTGGCTTCTTCAACACTAGCAACAGACTTCAGACAATCATCGACGTAGAAGTTTCTATAAACAGTATCCACAATATGAGTGTCATAATTACTTCTGTTGTCATCTGCAGTTCTCTTCAGAGCATATGCTGCACAGCTTGGTGAAGATGTGGCACCAAATGGATGCACCAACATTTGATGATCGGCTGGATCTTTAGATAAATCTCCTTCCGGCCACCATAAGAATCTTAGTGCATCGCAGTCCGTCTTCTTCACCTTAACTTGATGGAACATTTGCTTGATGTCAGCAACAATGGCAACTGGCTCTTTTCGAAATTGAAGAAGTACTCCCACAAGGGTATTATTTAGATCAGGACCTTGCAGAAGCTGATCATTAAGAGATGTGCCTTGGTATTTGGCAGCGCAGTCAAAAACAACTCTCACCTTCTCTGGTTTATTCGAGTGGATTACTGGATGATGAGGTAAATACCAAGTAGAGCCAGACTTCGTTGCTGATGAATCCACATTGGGCATTCTTCTTGCATGACCCTGGGAGATGTAACCATCCAATGTGTCTTTATATTTCTTCATAAGTGCAGGATCTTTTAATAGACGCCTCTTCAGTAGCTTCAACCTCTTTAGAGCAGACCATTTGTTGTTGGGTAAGCAGGGATCATCATATCGCCAAGGAAGAGCCAGCTGGTAGTGACCCTCAATCAGACAAACTGAACTGTCCATGATCGCCTTTGCACTTCTATCTTCCAGCGACATACATGCCTTGGTATCAAACAAGGACTCTGTGAAATCTGCATTGTACATGCGATGAAGCTGAGAAGTTATAGGTTCGAGACACTGAATTGGGGAATCAGAGTCCAAGACTTGGTCAACATTAATAAAATTGATGCTGTTACCTCCACGCTTCTTTCTGCCCATTGGTCCAATGAATGTCCAACCAAGTAGTGTTCGAATACCATATGGTTGTTTCCTTTCACCACGACGCTCCTCAAGAACCCAATGTGCCTCGGGGACATCGTTCCCAATGAGGAGAGTAACATCTTTAACTTCTATCTCTGGCAATTCTATATCATTCAGGTGAGACCATCCTTTTATATCCAACTTGGTCGGAATACTGTCAGCTGCTATTGGTAATCTATCCGTTGTCCAAACTTTATCCAGTCGCACACCATTGACCAAATTTAGACCTCTTACATCCATCTGTAATTCATGACCATTAATCTGCCTCTCTGCATTCAGTGTGGACAATGTGTAATTGTGTAACACATTCAGTGTGGACAATGTGTAATGCCTAATTTATCAGCAAGGCTGTAAAGGCAGATAGACGAATCAGAACCACTGTCGAGAAATGCATAGGTTTCAATCTCTTGGCCTCCATCTACCCCACTGACACGAACAGGAATCACCTGCAAACTTATGCGTGGTTGATTGGTTTGTGTAGCACTACATTGCGCCTTGCTTCCAATGACATTACTATGTCTCTCATTTTGAGCTGTGGCGGGAGCTTTCAGATTACTGTTGCTGAATGTCTTGGGAGTTGCAGATGTTTGATATGCTGAGTCTGATGTTGCAGGATGAAGCAAGGGATGATGTCCTTTACCACAGCCTACGATAGGGCAAATACGACCACTTCTACAATTCCTAGCCAAGTGAGGAGGTCTTGCTTCTAGGCAACAGTCACAGAGCCTGTGTTCCCTGAAGAAATCTTTTCTCTCTTGGAACGGTTTGAACGTAAATTTTCGACAATGTTCAAATGCATGGCTACCACTGCAAAACAGACAACCTCTCCTGCCATTAACTTCGATCATGGAAGTATCATCAGCACCAACATCATTGGAGGCAAACTTGGAAGGAAGATTTATGGGAGGCGTGTCAGCTACATGTGTAGCCAATGTAGTAGCTTTACTTGGCTTTTGTCTTGATCTGGCATTTGAATCTTTTTCTCCATCAGGCTTAGATCCTACCAATTTACCAAATCTTGTATTTGCAATTGCTGATCTGTTCTCCAGAAAGTGGGTAAGGTGCAGGAATTCAGGTTCAGTGCCCACACTGATCAACTTGCCAGCTTGCTTGGCCCAATCTGATTGCAAGTATGATGGTAACCGCCTAACCACCTTTTCCAGGGTATCCATTGAATTGATGTCAGCATGGAAATTCATTTGCTCAGAACTAAGGTGGCAATTCTTCATATCACGAGCCAATTTCTGAAGCTTATCCACTTCATATGCCTTTATCTGAGGGCCTTTCACCACTTTGTCAATTGTAGCATGCACTATGACGTGTTTCTGACCAAAGCTTGTAGAAAGGATCTTCCGGGCTTCTGTATATCCTCGCTCTGGAGGGAGAATTACACAGCTTCTGATTGCTTCCTTAGCAGCTCCAGTACAGTGTTGGATAAGATATGATAGTTTGACAGTATCATCTTTGACTAATTGTTCTATGTTCACCTCAAAGTTTTTGATAAAGGTTGGATATGCGACTGGGTCACCATCGAAGGTATGAAACTCGTGTTTTGGTAGACTCAAGTTAATGGCTAATGCTTTGGTAGTCTCCAGCTGATTCTGCACAATGCATTCCATTGTCTTCTGTTGACTTTCTAACAGTTTCTGTAATTGGAACGTTTCAGAGAGAGCAGCACCATTACCTGACTTCTTAGTGGTCATCTGCTTCCCTATAGGCCCTCCTCTGTCATCACGATATTGTTCGCTGGTACCATGTGCATTATCAACAAAGCTTTTATGTTGTGGACTTGACGCCCCTGTAGTCCTGAATTGACTATTGGCTGGACTGCACGACGGTATATACGATTGGAAATAATTGCTCATCATTTCTTGTTGGGTCTGCCTCTGCAAACCAGGGAGTATATCAGACTTCTGGTCAGATTCAATTTCTTCATCTATAAAGTCTACTTCTACCTTGGCTTGTCTTACCCGATTTTGAGCTTGCATAATTTCCATTTCTGCTTCCTGCTGCTCCCTCTCTTGACGCATCTGAAGCAGACGTTTTTCTGTTTCTTCTTGAAGCTGCAACTCTTTTATGCGTTGCTTTATCTGTTTTTCAACTTTGAGTTGGTCTAACTCACACCTGGCTAAAGCGAGTTTCCTCCTTGCTTCCCTAGACACACGACTTGTCTTTGTATTGGAGTTAGAACCTATTCTACCATCCTCAATATCCACATCCAAAAATTCTTTCTTGCCAGTATCCCATGGATTTGTCTTGTTTTCTTGTGGGAGTTGAGGCCAAGATGAAGTGCGAGAATCTACCGATGCATTTGGCTCTGTGGTTAGAGTTGGCATGTGGACTTTCCTTTCCAAGAGAAATCCATGTTCCAATGTGTCTTCCATTTGGTCGTCAATCCTTTCCTTTGGGCCAGGAGACTCCATTGTTTGGAATACCCATTCTCTGTGTCTCTGACCAAAATACTCCTTTCTTTCGAGCTCAACCTCGTATTCACTTTCGACAGCACCTCTTGCCATTGGAGGTAGACACTGCATATATTCACGACAAGTTTTTTTATACGAGTTGAATAATTTCTCAAGAGCACATCTTTTCTTGCTTACTTCTTGGTATGCTGCTTTTGTGGACATCATACTGTCTATCTCAGTGTAGACTCTGGTAAGATGACCGCCATATGAAGCTGTTGATTTCTTCAAACGATGTATCTTATCAAGTTGCATACTGGCTCGGTCCAGGTCGAATAACGTGTCCCTATTTTGCGAATATCTTTGATTCAGACTCATTTCCCCGTCTTGCACGGGTTTATGATCTAGGATATGACATTCACAGCACGATATTCACTTGACTGACAGCAGTATTACCAGTATGTACAAGGTATGAAGGCAACACAAAATTATTATCTTCAGCGAAGGTTAAACGAGAACTATGTAGGCATCACAAGCTCCCACAGGTATTACAGTCTTACGCCACCAACTAGAAACGCGTACTCTGGTTATATCGTATATTTATTCCATATGGTCAATCGTTACGGAATCAAAACGAGTTAGTACATCTCCAGAATATGGTTCTAAAATATACAAAACAAAATAGGGAAACTATAATAGTCGAAGTAAATCAAACAATTCTCATCATAAAATGTACAGTAAATTAAATATACATTTCTCTTAATATGTGCAGAAAGTCGAGCGATACAACCAATAAATATACGGCAAATAAAATATGTAACAATAAGTAACAATGCTAACTGAAATATTTGTCAACCATTTTGACCAGCCAAAGCACACATTGCATACCATGTGCTCTATTAAACGTGCAGCTGACCACATGTACGCAATGTGTTTGGGCACAAAAAATGGGTGGCAAATAGTATAAATAACAAAACAATTTTCAAGAAATAAGTCTTAACGAATACTAACGAATACTAACATTTACAGACTTGCAATAATAACCCAAAGTAAGAGTGATAAAATCGAGTTCATACGAGTACTCAAACAAATCACTGCCAATAATTTCATGCTGATGAAGCCAACAATGAAAAGAAAACCTTCCTTACCTCGTTTAGTGGCACCTTCCCGGACCGGTGTACAAATGTTAGCAAACCTAGCAAGTTTCAGAAAACCCAATGCGGCAGGGCAATTCAGAGCAGACACAGAGACGTCTTCACTCTTCAGAAGCACATGCTGAACTGAAGACAATAGCCTGCCTAGCCCAGAGTTCACCACAGGTCAAACAGGTGAAACAAAGGAATCTAACTATGTAATCAATAACCAATCAGAGGGGAGGTTTGCACAACTTACACACCGCCCCCGAAAGGCGCACGTTACGAGGAGCCTTTCTAAATTTAAAGTTGCAGAACCGACAACTAAATGAATCATGTACATGAAAAGAAAAATAATTGTTCTGTTCAACAAAGGTTCATGGTTCTATTTTCTTCTTGTGATGTAGTCTTTTACTACGACGTGGCATCGAATGATCACATCCATCTACTTGTTCATGTATTTCCTTGGTGTCTTCTGCACCGATCTCTGCTGCTCTAGTTACTCCATCTTGTCTTTCCGTCACAGTCTTGTGATCCATGTTGCCTTCCAATAAACAGAGCTTGCGCACATCTCTCCGTAAACATCCAGTGGAAGTCTTCACAAGAACATGACGAGTTGTACCAAATCGATCAGCAAAGGTCTGTTCGACTTTTCCCAAAGGCCATTCACCTCGAGGAATATTTTCATTGACAACAAGTACCAAATCACCAATGGATAGGTTCCTTTTCGGCCTGCACCATTTCTGCCTTTCTTGTAGAGTTGGCAAGTACTCACGTACCCACCGTTTCCAAAACTCAGTTGCAAGATGTTGAGTTTCGGTTCTTCTTCTGTGATGACCATTTTCTTCTATGATTTCACTCACCGACGTACAAGGATTTGGGCGTAGCAAAAGTAAATGGTTTGGTGTGAGTGGTTCAAGATCATCTGGATCATCAGATAAATGTGTCAGTGGTCGATTATTAAGAATCTTCTCCACTTCTGTTGTGAAAGTGAGTAGCGTTTCATCATCCACTAACCTGTTCCCTAATAAAGATCGAAGAATCTTTCTTATCGAACGAATCATCCGTTCCCAGACTCCACCTGCATGACTTGCTGCTGGTGGATTAAAATGCCATTGAATATTTCTTCTGCTAAGTTTACCGTTAATAAAAGCTTGGTTCCATTTAGCAAGCATCTGTTTCAGCTCAGTCTCGGCTCCCCGGAAATTGGTACCATTATCACTGTAGAGATGTGTAGGTGGTCCACGCCGACTAATAAATCTCCACACAAATTGTATAAAGGAATCTGTGGATAAATCATGGGCCACTTCGTTTAATGGTAACTCTTCTGTACTTAACATACAGTGGTCTAAAATAATCTATCCCGACATGGGAGAATGGTGGCTCACCTGGTGTCACTCTAGCTGCAGGAAGTGGAGCCATTTTTTGATTCCCGGGTTGTGCATTCCATCGACGACACTTAATACACCTACCAATCACACGCTTTACAATCCAGAACTTCTGTCGTATCTCTGACAACACTTGGTTTGGGCCAACATGTCCTTGTTGTTTATGGTAATGTTGAACGATCAACTCAGTCACATGATGATTGTGAGGTAATATAATTGGATGTCTAGCTTGCTGACTAATGGGTGCATTCACTAGTCATCCTCCGACGTGTAGGACTCCATTTTCTAATTTAGGGTTTAACTTTCACAGTGGACTG